TCACTTCTTATCCGTCTAACCTTGATGTCATGACATAGAAAAAAATGTGGTTTTGAAAAATTTGTTCAACACTTTTGTCATGAAAATTGAAGGGAAAACCAAGGATAATGCAAAAGCGAGAGCAACATGCAGAAAATTTGCGTCTGAACCGAAACTCGAGCAATCTGTACTTACTGGTAAGTTTCAAAGGCATTGTTATTGTTTAAGATAACCCAAGGCAATTATTGTGCGACATGGTTTACGAATCATTAAGGTTTCCAGATGGTATGTTCAATATGGGTAAGATGTGTGGACATGAGGAAGTTACAGATTGTTTGCATGAAAAGCCATGAACTGCCAATGTTTTCATGCAAAAATTGATCCTGTGCATTCCGGTGACCTGTGGCATTCCGGGAATTATTACCAGGAAAAATTTGGGAAGCAATGACAGAATTGAGTCTCTTTTTCAAGGAATTGACGATGCCTGTTATCCGATGCAATGATATGGACCAATTAGCGCGAGAAATCCCAGTAGTGTTGTGTAAATTGGAGCGAATTTTTCCATCCTGCTTCTTTGATTCTATGGAACATCTGTTGGTTCATTTGCCCTATAAATGTCGTGTAGCAGGACCGGTACAATATTGATGGATGTATCCATTTGAAAGGTGAATCACTAACATCCCATTCTAATCATTACATCATTTATTTGAACTCATACTTACATATTGGCATTGTACAATGACAAACACCTGCAGAAAATTAAAAAGAATGAAAAATGTGCGCAATAAGGCAAAGGTCGAGGGATCCATTTGCAATGCATATTTGGTGGAAGAAGCTTCCACATTCTGTTCACACTACTTTGACCAACATGTTTTCACCAAGCATCAGAGAGTGCCACGTAACAATGACAGAGGAGATCGCGTACAATCTGAGTTTGAAGGAAATCTAAAAATTTTCACCTATCCTGGGCGTATGATTGGTAAATTAAAAAAAAGACGATTGACTGATGCAGAGATACAACCGGCTCAAACCTATATTTTATTGAATTGTGAAGAGATCACACCATATGTACAGTAAAGTAAGTATACATAATGTAAACAGTCTAAAATTGACGTGGGCCGTTGTTAAATCATACTTATGCTAATTTGGTTCGTTGATAAATAGGAACTATATCAATCTTTTGCGGCTTCAAAATCCCACTTTGACTGATACTACAGTTGATGCAAAGCTGAACACCGAATTTGCAGAATGGTTCAAATATTATCTAAGTTACTTTCAATGTACACAACATGGAATGTACATTTATTAAATCTCATTCATGTCATTACTATTTCCCATAGGCTCGAAGCTCGGGAATCGATATTCGTAACAGATTTATTACGGATCTAGCAAAAGGGCCGTTACCGGTTGCTAATGCCTACTCCCCGGGTTGCTAATGCATACTCTGGCTACTTTGTAAAAGGTTACAAGTTTAACACTGAGGGTTATGCGTAGAAGCAGAAAGACAATGAACAAGCGGTGTGGGTGCCATAAAGGGAATCAAAACTACAGTGGAGTGTCAAACGATTTTTTATGGGAAAATTGGTTGAAGGTTTTGGAGTTAGAATATCCAGGCCTACCAATGAAAGTGCACAACTTATTCAAATGTGAAATGTGTTGATTCCTATCGCCAAACATTAGGCACGAGGTTCATCCTAAGTATAATCTGGTAGATATTAATCAAAGAAGAAGATATACAAAGCTATGAACCTTTTTGTGTTGGCAATGCAAGGCTCACAGGTTACTAATGTCCATATCCATCATTTAAACGAGATCGAAGCGATTGGCATGGCAGTGGTGTAAAATCAAGGGCTATAGAATCAGTTGTTCATGTGGGCACTTGAAACCAAACAAATCTGCTTCAACTCGCAGTATCTGAGGCCATTTCAAGAAGTTAGAGGCTGAAACGCAACCGATGCAAGTTTGGTTGAAGAATTTGAACAGATAGAATTGGAATGATTGAAAGCGATCTATGTTGAAATAGGAATAGCATCAAGATGATGAAGAACGAAGAAGATCAAATACATCGATGGGGTACCCTTCAGAAGAGGAAATATGAAGAAGAGGAAAGTGATGAAGAGGGAGGATGAAACAGACTGATATTTGGAAGACACTTAAAAACTTTGTAGCAGTTTTTACTATTACATGAATTGAATAAAATGTATATCTAATTAAAATATTATTAATGAACGAATTATCAAGTGGTATTAACTTTTCTTTACTCATATTTACCACATGTTCTACAATTCATATAATTGGTATAAATTCATTTTATATAGGTTCTGACAGATCTGCAGTACAGATGGCTTACAGGCAAGGTGCGTTTGATTCTAAACGGCGTCCGGCAGTGGTTTCGCGTGGAAAGGTCGTGGCCTGGACGCAGTGGCCCGTGGAACGAGGGAGGGTCGATCCCCTCATCCTTCTTCAGGTTACGTCTGGGCCTCGTTCTACATCTGCTCAGCGACCAGTACTGTCTCCCATCACATCCTTCCTCAGGTTACATCTGGGGCTTCATCTCTGCTCAGCGTCCAGTACTGCGCCATCATGCCTTCTGCTCCTTCGCTCTTCTGCTCCTTCTCTTCATACCCCCGTTTCTGGACCAGTATGACTCGCACAGCTGAACAGTCACCTTACTGTGCCAAGGTATCATAAATGTCCCATTACTGTCATTTTACTTAATTATTAATTATCTAAATTTATAACATTTGGTCACTGTCTTTTGCAGCTTGCATCAGATCCACGTATCACCCCTCAAGTTTTGGGTAGCGGGACAGTAAGTATTATTCCAAGTTTTTTCCGCATGGCATAATTTTGTTCAAGATGTGTGATGCTTTATGTAATTATATTTTCACTTCTGTTTTTTTTTTTTTTCAGCATATATCCAATCTTTTCTACGAGCAGCGAGGCAAATTTGAAGGATAATCAAGCTCCGAGCTGCATAAGAGAGGATACACATGGGATGCCGTATACCACAAAGAGGCCGAGAAGAACTTTTATTGGGAGGAGTTTCAGGTACTCTTTGGTTTAAGTTCTATCAATGGCATTCAATGTTTTAACATTCAAGATACATCCTTAGTGTTTGAAAATGCTATATTTAATTTTTGTAGAACATTTCATATGGGACAGAGGCCCATTACGGCTATGTCTGAAATGTAGCCTGGGAGAAAGATATAGCGCGATCGGATATGCCTGACTCACCTATAGGATGAAGAACATTACGGCTATGCTGAAAGTAGCCTGGGAGAAGATATGCGCCGATCGATACGCTGACTTCACCTATAGGATGAGAAGAAGCGGTAAGAAACAACGGTGCGTGTCTCAGGAGATATGGGAGAGCTGGCAAAAGGCTTGGGAGGATCCTGCATTCAAGAGAAAGCGGGAGATGTTTGCACAAAACAGGCGCAGTGAGACTGGCGGGGATGGAGCAGGACCTTCGCGACACACAGGCGGATCTATATCTGCTATAGAGACAGCTCGATTATTAGTAAGTGAACTAGTCCCTTTGCAAGAAACTGATGTTTAATGAAAGGACAATATATATATTAATATATCATGCATAAAAATTCATTACAGGCTAAAGAATTAGGTCGTGAGCCCACACCGATAAGCCCACATCGATTGAAAGGGTTTCAAAACCAATAAACCCCCCCAAACCAAAACTTCCACCAAAGAACTAAAGGAAAAACCCCCCACGATCTGAATAACGTTTGTGCGACAGAGCGTTCGGTGGAGCGTCAATGTAGGTAACAATGAATATATTTACATTTACCCTCTACTCGTTGCGAGATGTAACAAAAGTTCAATTATAAATAAAGCTTGCCAATTGCATTGATTAATTAATTTTTTGTTTTTCAAGAAGGAACTATACTACAGCTCGGGAGCGTATTTGTTACTTCTCAGACCGATGAATCCGAGCTGAGTCAAGGATGACAAGGTAGCGCTTTATCTCGAGGCTGTAGGGGAGCGAGAAGAGCGGAAAGGTTATACGGGCATTCGGGTCTCAGGCAATTCAACAGTTTTAATTGCGGCTCAGCAGCTCACGCTTCTACACCAGTCATAGCATCCGACAGCCCGAGCAACACTGACGGAGCACTGTAATGATGATTACAGGCTCAGCTTGCTGTTCAATAAGAGACACGATTGCAGGCTTTAGGGCGCATGTATGCGGCTGTCCGGTGAAGCCCCGTGCTGGTACTCGTCTTTTCCTCTGATCCTGCGCTGCTACATGACCGACATGTTTCGACGTCCTCAGCAGCAGCCACATACCGGCTCCTGATACCCCGATGCCTGCAGACAATACCCTTGGTCACTCCCTCCCCTTGGCGCTACATTCACATCCAGCAGGTACTCCTCCCGGCGACGACATCGGATCCTGGCCAGATAAGCAGCAGCATAGATTTGGATTTTTGGACCTTTTTTAGTTTTTTTATTTGTATTTTGAAATATTTTAATTGTGTTCAGTACAATAAAATTTACAATTTTTTTACATTGTTCTTGAATTGCTTTGTGTGATATATATGTATATATGTCATTTTCACAAAGGTGGCGGAAAAATTTTTGGTTTCATAATAATATTTTTAATTGTTTTTTATTTTTTTTTTTCAATTTTGCGACCGGATTTCGACCGATTTTGATACCGAAAAATTACAATTTCTTAAATTAACATTTTTTTCAATTTTGCGACCGATTTGCGACCGATTTGATACCGAAAATTACAATTTTAAATTAACATTTTGCGACCGATTAAAAAAATTTGCGACCGTTTTTTCTGCGACCAAATTAGCGACTGAATTTCAAATTAAACCACGATCAACAATTGCGACCGATTATTCAAGTTTGCGACCGATGGAATAATCGGTCGCAAATATTTTTTGCGACCGACATATGTTGGTCGCAGATCAGTCGCAAAGGAAAATTTGCGACCGATCTTAGCCATTTTGCGACCGATTTGTCGGTCGCAAAATGGCATTTTTTTTGTAGTGATTGCCGAATATGATGCAAATTACCGGCCCTTAGAGCCATTTGAACCCCCATTCCAACTTTGCTTTTACAACACCACGCCTACTGCCTTCACTCTTGCTTTACGTATGGGCACTGCGAGGTCTGAGTCGCTCCGACGTTGGGTTTGGGAAGCCAACCGCGGCAACCCAGTTGGCGAGAACGCCACTCTCAACTTCGGAACAGACGGAAATCTTGTCTTGACCGACGCCGATGGCCGGATTGCTTGGCAAACCAACACAGCCAATAAAGGTGTTATTGGGTTCAAAATATTCCCTAACGGTAACATGGTCCTCCATGAAAAAAGTTTTGATTATCTGACTGATACCCTTTTAGTGGGACAATCCTTAAAACTTGGGGGTCCTGCAAAACTTGTGAGTAGAATGTCTGAAACACAAAATATAAATGGTCCATATATAGTTTGGTCATGGAGGATAAAACTTTAGGCATGCATTACAAAACCCCAAAATCCTCAAAACCTTTGCGTTACTTTTCATTTCTTGACTTGTCAAGTGTTATGAAAGGTCCTTTGCAAAATCTGACACTTCTTTTAGGTTTACAATTAGCATACCAAGGTCCTCCAAAATCCTTCACCGGAGGAACTCTTTCTTTAACAAGACCTACATATAATACGACATTGTCGTATCTTCGGTTGGAAATAGATGGAAACCTTAGAATCCACACTTATGATGATGATGCAGATTGGAATGCTTGGCAAGTGACTTACACACTTTTTTCTAAAAATTCATATGAAACAGAATGCCAATTGCCTGAAAGATGTGGGAAATTTGGATTGTGTGAGGAAGATCAATGTGTTGCTTGTCCATCACCAAAAGGACTGTTGGGTTGGAGTAAGAATCGCCAGCCAGCAAAGGTAAATTCTTGTGGGTTAAAAGATTTTTACTATTATAAACTTGAAGGAATTGACCACTTCACTGCAAAGTATACTACAGGAGATGGACCCATGAAGCAAGATGCTTGTAGCAGTAAATTTAGTAAAGATTGCAAGTGTTCGGGTTATTTTTACCATACACAATCTTCTAAGTGTTGGATTGCTTATGATATTAAGACTTTAACAAAAGGTGATGATTCAACCCATTTGGCCTTCGTAAAAGCACCAAATAAGTAACAAAAAAAAGGCATTTCTATTTTATTACCTGTGTTAGAACCTAATTGTGGTTATCCCATATGATCTTGTGAAGATGGTTATTGCTTCTTTAATGTAATTGATTGCATTTTGAATTGTTTGGTGGTTGAATTGGCAACAATAAAATAAAATTTACATGTTTTGGCTTTATTTGTTTTGTATTTTTAGAGGTAAAAGATAATTCTCATATATATATAATTTTATTCATCATTCTTGTAGAATCTTCACCATCATTATCAAATCCAGCATAAGTATAATAACAATCATAATAAAGGAGGAGTAATATTTCCATTTATAGCACCAAAAACATAAAGGTTGGTGATATTGATTCCTCAATCTCGATATTCTTTCTCTTCTTAAGCATTTTTCATTCGATAAATGGTAAAATTTTTGTAAAAATACAGTTTAAAATTATTTGGCTAACAATATATTAAGACTTAAAATTATTTAACAAATCTACATTTAGGTTGGGGTTATTATTTCTTTTCTATTGCTCTTGGCTTTTTTAACAAAATTCTGAATACAATTTCTGTTGGAAACATCTGTGATATTGTCCAGATTTACAATTTTTGTTTTCGGTATTATTATTAAATTTTTATTTATTTTTTTTAAAAAAAACTCTCTTAAAATTTTTTATTCTATGTCAGATTTTTTTTTTTTTTTTTTTAATTTTTTTTAAAAAAAAACTCTCTAAATTTTTTATTCTAGTATCAGATTTTTTTTTTTTTTTTTGTGGTCATGCGAATAATTTTTTTTTTTTTTTTGTGGTCATGACAATAAAAACTTTAGGGGCAGTTAACTTATGAATAAAGAATTTTGATTGTCCAGCTTTTATATTTTTCAATCAATAAATAAATCATAGTAGAAATTAGATTAATCTTATTTATGGCGTCTGTATTTTTCAATCTTTTGCTACTTTGGTGTCTGTACAGAAAAAATTTATAATTGAATGTCTAAACATAAACATTTGTTAAAGAGGCGTGACTAGAAATTTAATGGCATCTCTCTCCGAAGAAAACTCTTCTCTGGGTCGTGATCGATGAAGGGTTGAAAATGATCAATTGTAACATAGTGCTAAAAAAGTTTGAAAGGAAGATATATTATGCATGTTATTCTAGAAGAAGAGACAAAAGTTGTCAATCTTTCCGGGACATTGATATATGCATTTCATGCATATGTTTTAAACCCTTTTAATTATATAGATTAGTCTAGTTTAAAGCATTTTGAATAAGTAAGCTTAATTTTGTACATATTGTAGATATTTTGCCTCCTTTTGTCCAGTATAGGGATGGAAGCGAAGCGGATATCTGCGAATTTTAAACTATCCGTATCTATATCCGTTTAAAATTATATTAACCATATTCGTTAAAAACCCGTTTAATTATCGGTATTCAAACCCGTTAATTATTTTATTATCCATATCCGTTTGAAATCAATTTAATCGGGTAGGGTACCCGCAAAAGTTTAATAATCTGAATTCAAGATTCAAACCAGAAGTATTTTTTTCCAGTAATCATTAACATCAGAATCTTAAGTAAAACTTAAAGTATTAAAACTTGTAGAATCTTAAATTAAAAAGAAAAAGAAAGTTAAGGTTCCTCCAAGAAACATCCACATATGGATAAAAATTTATTAAACTAATAGCATCATATAAACTAAAAATTTATTCAAATACACAACCACCGTTTAAATATCCTTTTTTTTTTCTTCTTTTTTAAAGGTCAAAGGTTCAAATCTCTAAACTAATATTTATATGATATATATATTATTATTGTCGATAAACGGGTAGGGTATCCGCAGGTACTCGCAATGCTACACTATAAAAAAAAAACGTGCTTTTGCGATCGACGTAAATCAGTCACAATATTGCGATGATATTGCGACCAATTGCGATGATTGGGAGATTGCATATCCACCGACGGATTTACAATCAAACAGCGACAGAATTTGCGACGGACTTGCGACTGAAGTCAAATCCGTTGCTAATTGTAGCACTAATAATTTCCGCCAGTTTGGTTTCCATTTTGCGACCCCATTGCGACTAATTTGCGACCCTTTCAAAGTCTGTCACAAAATTGCGTGCTGCAGTTCAGCGCCAAATTTAGTTTTCGTTGTGCGATCGACTAGCGACTGATACTTTTGCTACCGATTATGTTATTCGCAAGTCGGTTGATATTTTTCTGACAACAAAACGACATCGCATGATCAAAAATTGCAACCGATTTTTTTAATGAATTGCGATCAATGTGTCGACCGTAAAAAAATATAGCTTTATAAGCCCTTGGTCGCCTTGCTCGAACGCAGCTCATTCTTCCTTCCCCTTCTCCTCTCTGTCGCAGCCGTTCCTAGCCCAGCCGCCTCCTTCGCCACTCTGTTGCAGTACCGGTCGCCAGAGATTCTTCCTCCCTCTTCGTTCGCGTTCGCCTGGTCAGGTATGCCTCATGCTGTCTTTTTTTTGGTTTTTTTTTTTTGTGGATTTCGTTTTCAATGTGAATGCAATTTCATTTTTTTAGTTATTATTGTAGTAATTATTGTTGTTTTTTTCCTTATTTTTTTTTCAATCTGAAAGCAATTAACGAAATAGTGTTTGTAGTGTTTGTAGCGACTAAATGAAAAATGAAAACTACTTAGTAAATATCAATTGCAAATAATATAAGATATACATAGTTAAGTAAAAAAATGACTTATTTTAAGAAATAACAATTATTTAACTAAATAAATTAGTAATGAATAAAATTGAAATAATATTATACATTTATTTTCTTTTTATTAACTTACTTAGTATAATTAATTTCTGACTAAATGGAAAAGAAGGAAGCTCAGCTCAATAAATACTACTTTTAAGTAATATAAAAAATGGAATCGTTCAATTAAAAAAATAATTTGAATATTATAGAAAAATTCATTTAGTAATATTTTTTTTTCTCCAATTCTGTAAAAGAGGAAGCTAGCTCAATAAAAAGTACTACTTTTAAGTAATTATAAAAAATGGAAATCGTTCAAGTTAAAAAAATAATTTGAATATTATAGAAATTCAATTTAGTAATATTTTTTTTTCTCCAATCCTGTAAACAGTTCAGTAAAAAAGTAAAAGTAACAAGTAATTATTTTTTGTGATTTCTAAACAAATTAATTTCATATATTTTTAATTTTAAAGAAAATAAAATTTTTAAATTTTAAAAAATATTGTTACTGAAAACAGTATAATAGTACGAGTATACAATTAGTATTTATGGTAGCAATTTATATATAGTTTGGCTCAATTACATAGTAACATAGTTTGCATTGGATTATTGACTTTAGAAATTATCTAATATTTGTTTCAAATTTAAAATATAATCTGAAATATAAATGTGAAAATGTTAATTTAATTTTTATTTTTAAAATTATTAAAAGAATATAATGGGTCTCTACTCTCTAGTAATTATATAAGGACCAAAAGATAAGCCTAAAAGAAAGTAAAACAAAAATGATAATATTTCGTTAATTGTAATTTGTAAAAAAAACATTAATGACTGTAATTTATAACACTAGTTATAGTATTGAAATAATCTAGTTATAGTATTGAAATAATTGTAATTTGTAAAAAAAAAAAATTAATGAGTGTGATTTAATAGTAATCAAAATTTATACTAATCAAATTTAAAAATGTATTGAAATTAATTTTTTTAAAAATTATTTTATGTTGATTTGTGTTTTCATTTGATTGGAAATCACATAAATGATGCGTTTGAGTTGGAGGCCTAGTAGTGGCCATTTTAACTTCGGAGAATGTTGGGTTGATATAAAGTGTTTGTATTAGTGTGTTTTGACTTGAGAATTGATTATGTTATGTCAAAGTGCTGCCGAAATTTTTTTAAAAACTGAATATGAGGAATCGTACACTTACTGATATTACAGTAAGTTTATATATATATATACAGAGAGAGAGAGAGAGAGAGAGAGAGAGTTAACCTTAGTTAGAAATAATAACCTTAAAAAATAATTAAACCTTTAGTGAGTTTACATTCCTTATTATAGAAATAACCTTAGTAAGTTAGAAATGTAAATAGAACATTACTTTTGGCATGTTTTAAGGATGATTTAGGGCTAATGCAATTACATATAATTTGCCCTTTATAAACAGAGTGTTAATTCAGTAAAATGTTATGTAAGTAACTTTCTAGTTACACAACATATATGTTTACATTCTTAGATTTCACTGGTGTCATTACTATTTCCCATAAGCTCGAAGCTCGGGAAGTGATATTGACAATAGATTCATTACTAATCTAGCAAGGAGACCTCTACAGGTTGCTAATGCCTACTCTGATGCCTACTCTGGCTACTTTGTAAATGGTTACAAGTTTCACACTGAGGGTTATGGGACAAGCAGAAAGACAATGAACAGTGGTGTTTGCATAAAGGGGTCAAACTACAGTGACAAGTCAAATGATTTTTATGGCAAATTGGTTGAGGTTTTGAAATTGGAATATTCATCCCTACCAATCAAGTACACAATCTTATTCAAATGAGAATGATTTGATCCTACGTCAAACGTTGGTATGAAGGTTCATCCTAAGTATAATCTTGTGGATATTAATCAAAGAAGATATACGAAGAATACAAAGCTTTTGTGTTGGCGATGCAAGCTGCACATTGCACATGTGTACTATGTCCCATGATCCATCCATTGAAATGAAGATCAAATCATCATGGGTACCTCAGAAGACCGATATTAAAAAGAGGAAGAAGAAGAAGAAAAGGAAAGAAAGATCATGATGAAAACAGAAATAACTTAATGCTTATGTATTATGGAATAAATAAATTAATAGATATAATATATAATATTATTAATGAAGATTTAATGTTTATCACTTTTCTTTATACATATTTACCACATGTTCTACAATTCATATAATTGGTAGTATATAAATATTTAGGTTCTATCTATCTGTATGTATAGATGGCTAGTGCAGCTTTCCACCACAGCCCGACCATAG